CCCCAGACACAGCTTCCATCGGAGCTTACTGTAATCTGTGCCCTCGTCTGGCAGGGTGGATGCGTAGTCGTAGTAAGTGGCGTTCCAGCGCAGTTCCTTGTTCTTGGTGTCATACATGGTGATTGTATATTCTGAAATACAAGACACACAGCCAATCAGCAGGCAGCTCACATGTATGGTGACAGAGATGTAATGAGCAGACGCGGAGGGACTCACCTGTCCTGCCCAGGTAGAGGAGCGAGGAGGACGGACACACCGTGTCAGCGAAGGACGAGGTCAGAGTCTGCTGCTTCTCCCCCGTCACCAGATCAATCACATGCCACACGTCTTGTTTCTTCCCTGTACAGGACACACAACACAAATTCTTTCCACAGGAGAGCCCTCACACATCAATGCTGACCCATCTCCACCTATCACATCACTGCCTGCTCACATTCTTTATATCACAGAGGGTTGTAGGATCCCGAAATAAACAGCCCGCCCCGGAACTACGAGGACCTCATACACGCCTCACCCCGCCACTTACCCATGTACAAAATTCCATCCGAGCTGCGACACGGAGACGCCTGGACCAGCTCAGGGATAGTGAAGGGCAGTTTCTGCAAAAGAGGAAAGTTCTGAACCCTTCCATGTGTGACACCAAACACGGATATTAGTCAGAAACGGAGAAGGATTTGGGGGTCATTGTGGGCCACAAACTGAATGGTAGCTTGCAGCGCCAGGCTGCGGTAAACAAAGATAGCAGGGTTTTGTCTTGTATTAAGAAGGGGATGTATTGCAGGGACAAGTCTATAATTTTCCCACTTTATAGATCGTTGGTTCGGCCACATCTGGGAGTACGCGGTCCAGTTCTGTTCGCCGGTACTGAGAAGGGATGTCCAGCGGAGGGCATCCAAACTAATTAGGGGAATGGAGGACCAGAGCTATGAGACAAGGGGGAGGGGATGGAGGACCAGAGCTATGAGACAAGGAGGGGGAGGAGCTGGAGGACCAGAACTATGAGCCAAGGAGGGGGAGGAGCTGGAGGACCAGAACTATGAGACAAGGAGGGGGAGGAGCTGGAAGACCAGGGCTATGAGACAAGGGGGAGGGGATGGAGGACCAGAGCTATGAGACAAGGAGGGGGAGGGGATGGAGGACCAGAGCTATGAGACAAGGGGGAGGGGATGGAGGACCAGAGCTATGAGACAAGGAGGGGGAGGAGCTGGAGGACCAGAACTATGAGCCAAGGAGGGGGAGGAGCTGGAGGACCAGAACTATGAGACAAGGAGGGGGAGGAGCTGGAAGACCAGGGCTATGAGACAAGGGGGAGGGGATGGAGGACCAGAGCTATGAGACAAGGAGGGGGAGGAATGGAAGTGAGGAGATTAAGGGGGGATATGATTTTGGAGCTGGAAGACCAGGGCTATGAGACAAGGGGGAGGGGATGGAGGACCAGGGCTATGAGACAAGGGGGAGGGGATGGAGGACCAGAGCTATGAGACAAGGGGGAGGGGATGGAGGACCAGGGCTATGAGACAAGGGGGAGAGGATGGAGGACTAGAGCTATGAGAAAAGGGGGAGGGGATGGAGGACTAGAGCTATGAGACAAGGGGGAGGGGCTGGAGGACCAGAACTATGAGACAAGGCTTCTGACCTTAAACATGGAAGTGAGGAGATTAAGGGGGGATATGATTTTCATGTACAAGATGTACAATGGTGACGGCAACATTGGAAACAAACTGTTTGAGAATAACTCCATTACAAAGACTAGAGGCCGCCACCTAAAGTTCCAGCATAAGGGGCCAAGAGGGTTCTTTACAGTAAGAGCGGTTAGGGCAGCGGTGGCGAACCTATGGCACGCGTGCCAGAGTGGGCAAGCGGGGCCGTTTCTGCTGGCACGCGAGCCCAGGTCCGCCGTACCGCTTCAAAGTTCACTGATGGGCACGCAGGCGCAGAAAAGAGCTTCGGAGACGTTGTCATTTTCTGCCACGCAAGCGCACTGAGGACGAGACGAGGAGCCGCGCGGGCGCAGTGACGTCAACAACTGACAATGTACGTGAGGCGCCCATAGTAGCCGACCGGAAGCCGCCGAGTCCGACTCAGTCTACCTCCTGCAGACACAGCAGTGACACGAATGGACCTTCGGTTCTCCCCTCTCTCTTTCCGTCTCCAGCCACCCGCTTGTGTGGACGGGTTCCCATTGCCGAACACCCACTCAGCCAAGGCTCTCCTCCTCAACCCCTCCACCAGAGGCCGTCTCTCCTCCTCAACCCCTCCACCAGAGGCCGTCTCTCCTCCTCAACCCCTCAATCTCCACCAGAGGCCATCTCTCCCCCTCAACCCCTCCACCAGAGGCCGTCTCTCCTCCAGCCCTCGATCTCCACCAGAGGCCGTCTCTCCTCCAGCCCTCGGACAAAATGTAAGCGACATCTTCCCTCATTAGCACCTACTCGAACACTCACACAAGTCTTTGCACCCTTCACATGCCTTTTAGTTATAGCCCCCTTTAGAGATCACTTAAGGACCACCACTTTTAGATGACCTGGACACTGCACAGCCCATCCCCCCTCCAGCCCAAACACACAACTGCAGGGCCCATCTAGCCCACCTAAGACCATTTATGGACCACCTTGAAGCTGCACAGCCCCCAAGAGCCCATACAGACAACTGCAGAGCCCACCAAAGACCATTTCTGGACCACCTTGAAGCTGCACAGCCCCCAAGAGCCCATACAGACAACTGCAGAGCCCACCTAAGACCATTTCTGGACCACCTTGAAGCTGCACAGCCCCCAAGAGCCCATACAAACAACTGCAGAGCCCACCTAAGACCATTTCTGGACCACCTTGAAGCTGCACAGCCCCCAAGAGCCCATACAAACAACTGCAGAGCCCACCTAAGACCATTTCTGGACCAATGGGGGGCGGGCGGGTTGGCAGTTTGGGCACTGACTTGATGGACGTATGTCTTTATTCAACCCCAAATACTATGTAACTATGGATATCTGCCATTCCATCATGTATGCAAAGTGGTGCACGTTCTCATGTATGATGGAAGGCCCGCACACGCTTACCGTCAGACCCTCGCTGTGCTTACTGCCCAGAGTGTAGAGACTTCCGTCATTGGGATCAGGGAGGAAGGCCGGCCTGGAGAGGAGAGAAACACGACATTGTACACGCATGTCTGACCTGGAACACACATGTATAGGTCTGTACACAACATAACACTGGCGTGTGTCCACGTGTGAACTCCGCACCACATATGTACACATCCCGGCATGTATAGTATGACCAGCTTTCTATTCCAGTGTAATCAGAGCGGCAACTTACTCTTCCACATGTGTGGGGACCTGCAACACGGGATCTACCGGAGGAGAGAAGAGAGACCGTTACATCACACGTGATGGCCCAGACCGTCTGTAACATACTAGAATAATCCCTGCACCGTATACATACATGTACCACGTCTGACATGGAGGAGAGGCACGGCTGGGAGAGGAGCAGGGTGCCACCCTAATCCCCACCACCCT